TTTTTTTTTTTTAATTTTTCGAGACAGTCCCACTCTGTTGCTCAGGCTCTAGTGCTATGGGGTCCTCATAGCTCACAGTAATCTCAAACTCCTGGGGAATCTTTATAGTCATATAAAAGGTAAAAGACAAAACTCTTTGTTGGGGCACAGAATCCCGACTTGAGTTAAGAAAATGTAGTTGCCCTACCTGCTGGGTCTTTTACCTACAATTATTATTTTGGCTCCTTTAAGGTTAACTTTAACTGGCCTAGCAGTAAGCCCCACCCCCTACCGGACCGCTGGTGCGTATGCACCAATCAGCTCTCTGGGGCTGGGTCGACTCTCTAGGGAGAGGAGGGGAGCTTATGACACGCCCCCTTAACTCCTAAATACCTGGAGAGGTTGCCCAACTAGTCTCCACAACTGCTGATCCCAAACACCCAGGACACACTAAGAGGCCAGCCAGGAGTAAGGAGACCAAAATTTGAGCTCTGGCTCTGCCATTCTCTACCTCAACTGCCTTGAACAAGTCATTTATCCCTCTGCCTTTTTTTTTTTTTCAGACAGAATCTCACTTTGTCGCCCCCCCCCCCCCGCCCGTAGAGTGCAGTGGTGTAATAGCTCACAGCAGCCTCTTAACTCTTGGCTCAAGCGATTCTCTTGCCTCAGCCTCTCAAGTAGCTGGGACTATGGGCGCCCATCACAACACCCAGCTATTTTTAGAAATGGGGTCTTGCTCTAACTCAGGCTGGTCTCAAACTCATGAGCTCAGGTGATCGGCCCATCTCCACCTCCCAAAGTGCTGGGATTACAGGCATGAGCCACTGCACCTGGCCTCCTCTGCCTTTTTCTTCTGTGAGATATAGCAGTAATTTTGCCCTGCCTGCCCAATGACAATGAATGTTAACTTGAAAGTGTACCCTGGTTTGTTGTGTATAAATTTCCCATCACCACCCCCCATGGCAATGGCCAGAGGAAGAGAGCAGCCAGAAAGCCCTCCATCCTCTCTGAGGTCACATGCAAATGATAGGTGTCACTCAGGCCTTTGAACAGGGTCAAGAGACTCACATACCTGTGTGGCTGCTCTCAGCTTGGGTGAGGAGAGGGTTAAGGGCACCCATAGGGGTTCCAAAGATGTGAGTAGAAGGGAGGCTAAAGGTAGAGCCAGCCAGAGAAAACACCTGAGGGAAGGGACAGAATGCAGCCTGGTGGTTATTCTTAGATCTAGGGCACAACTGTGTGACTGAGGTGTGGGGGACTAGGCATGCTGGAGAGAAGACTGGGGTTGGGGTGTTCTATGGGAATTGAGTCCAGTCTCTCCAATTCACAGGCAGAACTGGGGTTCTCTAAAGTCTGTTCCCAACCTGCCCAGGGAAGGAGGAGCCCAGATGCAAAGTCTCACCTGAGTGGTGGAAATAGAAGCAGAGGAGGTGGTAAGGGTGCTGGTGAATGGGGAGCGACTAAGTCGGGGCAGAGCTGAGGTCCCTGGGGGTCCCAACAGGCTGGAGGAGAGGGGGGTACTGCAGACAGCCCGCAGCATCCCGCCACCATGGGAGATGGGGTCCTTATTACTGGTGTAGATGCCTACAGGCACAAGGATACAGAGGGAAGCAAATAGTTACCTTCCACCCCAGAATCCTCCTTAGTCAGGCAGCTGGGACAGCCCCTCCCCAGGGAGTATACACTCCGGGATCTGGCTAAACACACCAGTCTTACCCTTTCGCTGCAAGGATTCACGTCTTGTCTGGGTGACATTTGTTTAATGTGCCTGCTTATCTAACTGCCCTGTTGAGGGCTGGGGAAATCCTAGCTTTTTTTTTTTTTTTGAGATAGAGTCTCAAACTGTCGCCCTGGGTAGTGCCATGGCATCATAGCTCACAGCAACCTCAAACTCTTGGGTTCAAGGGAATTCTCTTGCCTCAGCCTCCTAACTAGCTGAGATTACAGGTGCCTGCCCAATGTCCGGCTATTTTTTTTTCTTTCAGTTGTCATTATTGTTTTAGCTGGCCCAGGCCAGGTTTGAATCCGCCAGCCCTGGTGTATGTGGCCGGTGCCCTACCCACTGAGCTATGGGCACTGCCCAAATTCCTAGCTTTTCTAATTCCCTTCCCAAAACTTAGTAAGTCCTGCTGGCAATCTACCCAAGTCTTTCCCACTATAACCATCCAGAAGGATGCTACAGGGATGTGTCTTAGAGGTAAATGTCACCTCCATCCTTTACTCTGTCCTTTGTAGTAGTTTCTATCAAATTTCCTTCTAACTCTGTCCCCTCACTAGACTGGGCTGGGCCCCCAAATGCCCTCTATCCTGAGAAGGTCACAAACCTGCTCCCAGCAGGGGAGACTCTAGGCTCAGGCTAGGCAAGCTCCCAGAAGGTCCAAAGTTGCGAGAGGCCAGACCACCCAGGCCAGAGCTGACCAGGGAACCACCAGAGAAGGGTGAGGCAGCAGTAGCAGTAAAGCCAGCCAGCTGGGCACTGGGCAGGGAGGGGGCAGCCGAGCCCCCAGTGCCTTCCTTGTTCCGGCTGCCCTTGGGACGGCCTGGCCCATGTCGGTTCCTCTTGCTGGCTTTGTGCTTCTTCTCCTTCAGGCTTGTTTCAGGGGTATCATCAGCAGGTGCAGGGGTGGCGCTTAGTGAGGGCATCCGCTTGTGGGTGCCAGCTGAGGCGCCAGATCCTGTGACGTGGGGAGACTTATAGTCCCCAGGGGAGGGGGCCCGGGCCCGGCCCGAGCTGGAGGTGGTAGTGGAAAAGCGCATGATGGGCCCAAAGCCAGAGAAGACCACCTTTTGCTCAAAAAGGTCAGCCTTGGGGGGCTCAGGGGCTGAGGGAGAAGAAGGGGCTGAAGGGGTTGGGGCTGAGGGCTTGGAGTACTTGTCCTCCTCTGGCTGCTCCAGCTTGGGGAATGCAGAGAAGTCAGGGGAGTTCTGTAGGGATGAGACTGTACAGGAGGAAAACAGAATTACAGCTTTACTCCAGAGTCCCTTACTTCTCTCCCATACCCACGTGTACTGAGGAAAGAACACTCTGCTTTTCTGTCCCAGCTCTGCCACTGTCTCTGTGTTCTGCCATAAAATGAGAATAGAGTAACTCCCACTGTACTGACCTTACTGCAGGACTGTACAGATTATATAGGAGATGACATTAATGTGGAAGCTTTAAAATTGGCAACTTCAAGCACAAGTATAGGGGACAATGAGTATTTTTATGGGATTGTTGATTTAAGAAGGAAGGATTAAGGGGAGGGCCTGGGGAGGAGTCACTTGGTGGGGAATTCCCTGTCTTTCTCCTGAACCCACTTAAAAGTAAATGAGATGCAAAGGCCCTTGCCAGCAAAGCTCAGAACAAAAGTCTATCCCTACTCCCAGTCTCTTCCAGATGCCAACACTCACTTGTAGGCTGGAAGGGCCCCCCAGAGGAGGAGGAAGAGGAGGAGGATGAAGAGGAAGAGGTGGAGGTAAAACTGCTCACACCCTTCCCACTGCTCAGTTTCTTCCCCTTATGACTCAGGCTATGGCTGGAAGACTTTTTCCCCTTTGAGTCCCTGCTGCTCTCAGAGGTCTCTTGCGTGCTGGCCTCATGGTGGGAGGAAGAAGAAGCCGAGGAGGAGACCTGAGGAAAGAGAGGAGAGAGGAAGATTCAACACCAGGTGTCTGGGCCTGGGCTCACCCTGACTTGGGAGTGGAGGAGGGTATAGGAACAGCCTGGAGTGAGCTTCAGGGAGAGAGAGAGTGGGGGTTCCTAGAGGGACTTCTGCATGTAAGGCAGAGGGGAGTGCACTCAACCCAAGAAGGTGTCTGTTCTTTGACTCAGGCAGGAATGAGGAAGGGTGAGGGAGAGAGAAAAACAGACCCAGAGTTTGTATTGCTTTACTCATCTGGTCATTCATCCATTTACATACTTGAGGGGCCTCAGAGAAGTGGGAAGTGGTGTGGGCAGTGGAGGGGAAGCACAGAGGAATGGGCTTCTCTGTCCCTACCTTGGCCCTCCAGTGGCCCCCACACTTTCCCTGCTCATGCAAGCTGCAGCCAATTGGCTCTCAGCCCATTCTCTGACCACTCAGTACTCTTCCTAGACCAACTAAGCGTGCATGCACTGAGAACCTATCCTTACTCTTCCTGGGACACTTCTCATCCTTGAAAATCCAGCTGGGAAGTCCCTCTTCCATGAAGCCTCCCCAGACGCATGGAGTAGAACAAGACACTCTGTCCTCTTATTTCCAGAGCACCATGTTAACTCATCTGCCTGTCAACAGTTGGCACTCTGCACTGAAACATACTGTCCCTATGTCTGAAGCCCCATTAACCTCTTAAGGGCAGCATGGTGGTAGCTGAAGGAGCATGGGCTGATGCCCTTCACCATGTTATGTCATACAGCCTCTCAACCGCATTGAGTTTTACTGTCCTTGCAGGGTGAATTATGCATATTATGTGTGTGAGAGTTGTAAGGAACATAATGCCAGATACATGGTATGGGGTCAATAATGATGATAACTCTGACAGCAGCAGCTATGATTAATGTTCCACAGTGCCAGGACTATGTGGCCTTCAAGCCAGACTGCCTATGTTCAAATCTCCACTCTACCACTTACTAGCTGTGTGCTTTCAGGCAAGTTACTTAACCTTTTTGTGCCTCGGCTTCTTTGTTTACTCTATGGGTTAATAAAATACCTATTTCGTTGGATTATTAGGAGCACTAAACGAACTAATTCCTATATACCCTTTCCATCCCCTGGTTCTAGAAGGGATCCTGGCATGTGGTAAGTGAGTTCATGCTTCATGTTACTGCCAGAGACAGCACTTTTCCTCCTGGTAGGGACCAGGTATTCAGTAAATTGTGCTGAGTTGAACAAACAAATGCTGGAGGGAGAATAGATGGGGGAAATGAGAGCCACCCTTGTACTGCCCCTCTGGGGCGGAGCCCTGGTCTCTGTCTTCTTTGTTCTTTTTAACAGCTGGAGTTCTGAAGGGAGCCAGATGTGGTTCTGAAAGCAGGGGAAGAGAGGGGCTTGGGGGAAGGGTAGCTGAAATGCTGGGGTGGGTGGAGGGGGATGGGAAAATTCTCTGGCATGTCCAAGGGACCCCCAGTTACTGGGGCACCTCTCAGATCTCTGGCCCTTCTTGCTACTTGTCTGCAGGTCCCTTGAAGGTCAGAGGGCAAGAATAACAAGCTTTCCAGGTGAACTCTGGGAAGCAGAGCAGGGAGAGGGTTACTGGGGCAGTTGCCACAGCAACACCACCCTGGAAACCTGATACCTGAGCCTCCTGCTCAGATGCCCAGAGCTCTGCCAACCATCTAAGGCAGGGTGGAAGTGAAGAGGCAAGAATGGTGAAGAGTTTCTCCAGGCCCCCAGGGTTTCCCTTCTATGTGGAGGGCAGGTTACAGAAAGAAGCAGGGAGGGCTGCTGTGGCTGTGGCTTGGATTAGACTCTGAGCCTGCCCATGGCTCATCCAGATGTTGCCCATTTCAGGAGACAGACCTAACATGCCACACCCCTGCTGGGAAGGGTAGAGTAGGGGTTTGGAGTGTTATACAGGAGCTTGCCCTCTATATCCCCTTGGTTAGCACTTTCAGCCTCTCCAATCTGCATGGAATGGGATTTTGGCTAAGTGACAGGTTTTGAGGGGGTGTTCCTCAGTCCTAGGAGCTTGGAGAACAGGCCTGAGTGCTGTACCCCCACTCTCTGCAGACAAGAGACCAGTGCTGAGGCCCTTTTGGGACAGAGACATATGTCAATATCTGGTAGCAAGTGGCTGAGTGGTAAGGTTGAAGAGTGCAGGCCCCTCCAGGTGGGAAAAGGGCATACCACTAACCTCGAGCTTTAGGAGGGGCACCCAGGTCTCTAGCTCCTGACCTCCACACCTCTCCTCCCTCCCATTGCCATCACAGACCAGCACTCCATCCCTCCTGAATGTAATAGCAGTACCTTGTCACCAGCAGGGACCACAGGTGAGGTGAGGATGCTGGGAGGTGACTCAGGCCGCTTCTTGTGCTTCTGTTTAAGGCGTTCTTTGTCCTTTCGACTCTAAGAGGGAGAGGACCGATAACATTTTGGTGGCTGTTTGGGCGAGGACAAACATGAAGTGTGGGTGTGGGGAACTAGCCCCTCTCAAGGATGGGGCTCTGTGGTGTCATGTCCCCATGAGCAGGGATGGGGGACTGGCTGGAAGGAGTATCTCCAGCAAGTTCCTCAGCTTGAACCAACAGCTCCTCCCCCCACGCTCATTGCTTGCTAAAAATAGCCTGTCCCATTATTACACCAGTGACATAGAGCACCACACACGTGAGCATACACCTGCAAGGGTGTCCACCTGGGACAGCTGTGCAGGGGGATGGGAGCAGGGCACATGTGTAGTGTGGCAGGAGGGTACACAGGCATGTGCAGGTATAAACTAGATTGTGGGACGGTGTGTGCAGTGCAAGGCCATGTGTCTGAGGTTTGGGGACACTGTCATGTCACAGAGAGGACCTGGAGGAACCACAGAAAGCCACTGGGAAGCGAGGCCCCCAGATCCCCTACAGGATTTTCATCATTCCACTTCCTTAGCTGCTCCTGCCCTCAGAGGAAGGAAGGGGCAGGTACCAAGATTTGGGGGGCACCTCATGGTAGCTTCTTGAGATGCATACGTGTGCGAGTATGGGCAGGAGAGATGGGGAAAAGGGTTCTACCTTCTTCTGGCCCCTGTCATGATGGGTGAGGTGCTTCTCCTGCTGGGTGGATGGTGAGGTTGACCGGCTTCTCCTGCCAGAGATGAAGCCACTGCCACCTCCCCCTGTGCCACTGCTGCTGCTGCCGCCTCCTCCTCCTCCTCCTCCTCCCCCACTGGTGTGCCGGGATGTCTTCTAGGGAAGAGAAGTGAAAGAAGTTGCCAAACCCTCCCCTCACTAGCTTAGGGAAAGCTTCCTGAAGTTTAAATGATCCTGGGGACCAGTCCCATGTGCCCTGACCATTCATTACTCATGTCCTCCACAATGTCCTGCATAGCAGAAGGACATTCTCTAGTCTGAAAATCCTCAAATTTCCCCATCTGGCTTATCCAATGTACAGATTCAACAACTGAGACCCAGAAGAGGCAGGGACATGTCTTGGACTCTCAGCAAGGCACAAAATTCTTGCTCTTTCCACAGTGATCTCTTGGCCTATCTTGGACAGACTGAACTATGGCCCGCTCCTACCTCTTTCTCTGGGCTATAGGATGTACAAGGGACCCTCATGGGGGAGCCCATGCTCTCTTGCATTCCATATCCCAGCACCCCCTCCAGACACTGTTCCAGCCATCACCTGCTTCTCCCTTGTTCCCGGCTTTTCCCCTCCACCATACTGACTGCTCCTATCCCAAAGGATATGCTGCCTTTTATCTGAAGCAGTTACCTGAAGTGATTATCAACAGCAATAGAAACCCAACTCTTATGCTGCCTCCTCCTCCATTCCTCTTACTACTCAGGCACTCTCCTGGGCCCAGTCTCACGGCTTCACTCACCCCAGGCTCATAGCTGCTCCCTCTAAGGTCACCAACTACTTCCCAACTGCCAAATCCAAGGGCTAATTTCAGGCCTTGTCCTGCTAAATGGCTCCCCAGTATTTGGCACTGGTCTCTTTCCTGCCTCCCTTCTCATCCACTGGCCCACCTTCTCCTTGTGGACACCCTGGGGATTCCACCCCCAGCTTTATAAGCCTGGTGCTGCCACTGTCATCTGCCTGGGAGCCCGACAGCCACAAAATCTAAGTGTCTACTTGGCACCTCCTGTGAACCAAACCAACCTCCCTACCTTCTCTTAAGTTGTCATGAAACTCTAAAATCAAGGTGATATAATTTACAATCCAAATCAGGACACTTTTGAAAATGAAGAGGAAAGCTATTGGTCATTATACCAGGCAACAGGCAGGAACCAGAAAGCTCACTCTATGAAAGCCAGTCACACCTTCCTTTCAGGGCACCATTAGGTGGTCAAGCTCTAACAACCCAATCAATGACTATAGCCTGGATCCTACACAGTAACCTAAAGTTGTGCTTCCCAGCCACAGGGACATTTAGGCAAGTCCACATAGAACGGTCCTAGCATCCAGCCTCATCCCTCCATCCCCCTTCTCGCAGCTGTCTCCGGGGCTGCCAGCCTGGCCCTTCCAATCCAGCTTCACAGAGGCTGCCAGGGTAATCTTCCTAAAAAACAAATCTGATCATGTTACTCTCCCGCTTACAAGCCTTAGGAGTCTGTGGCCTGTAGGGGGTGGAGTGGAAGAGTCTAAGCTGCAGGACACCTCTCCAGGACTTGTCACAGCTTTTGGGATGTGCAAATCACAAACACCGCAGAATGCTCTTTCCAGCCTCTCCACAGGCCCCCGAAGCCTGGGGCAGAAGCAAGCCCAGCTCCGGCACTGCTTAGGCTTTCTCCCCTCACCTCCTGCATCTTCCCCACCAAACACCCTGTTCTCCTGCCACGCCTGCATGCCAGTTTTCACACCAGTGCTTCAGCCAGGTTGGGGGGGGGTGACTCCTTTTTCTCTGTTTGCTTGGCAGACTCCTAAGGAGTTTCAAATCAGGCTACTGAATCCCATTGACCAGCTTCGAGATAAAGTTACACAACCTCAGTGAGCCTTAATTTTCTCGTCTGTAAAGTGGGGAAAACAGAGGACACCTAGTTCTTAGGGTTGTTGGGAGGATCATACAAAATAACACATGTAAAGAATTTGGTACAGAGGCTGGTTGGTACAGAGGCTGGGGCATAGTAAATATTGACTCCCACACAACCGTTGGCTTATTCCCCTCTCTACTCAGTTTAAATGCTACCTTTTCCTTGAAGCCTCCCAGATTCTGACAAGCAGAGTCTGAACTCTGTCTTTTGGGATGGGCTGCTTACTTCAGCTCTGGTTCATACCCCTGAATTTATTCCCCAATGACTGAGTTATTTCCCTCTCTGCCCTTCTAGCACCAGGCACTGGCCTGGCACAGAGCCCATGCCCTCTAAACCATGACTGACTAACTGGCTTGTACACTGAGAGCCAGGACTCACCATCTTGCTGAAGTGGTATTTGCAGTAGCCACAGTACTTGACGTTGTCAACCTCCAGCACTTCTTCCTCACACAGCAGGCCTGCCATCTGGGCACTAACCAGGAGAGGTCAGCCTGAGACAGCGGTGGCCACAGACCAGACCAGCCACCTTCCTCCTACCCTCCTGGACCCCTGCTGAAGTGAAGCCAAGACCATCCAAGGGAAGCACTGCCACCATACCAGAGATATAGTAGTTGGATGAGCCCAACTGGTGGCCATCCATGACAAACCTTGGTGGGTAAGGAGGCGGGGCAGGGGTCTCACCAGGTGACGTGGAAAGCCTGTCGACATCCATGGCGGTTACAGGTCATGCAGGCTCCTGAGGCTGCCTTGCTTTCCCGGCCCTGCTCCTCACAGATGTAGCATGTCTAAAGGACACAGTGCAATTGTCCCCTCCTCCAGGGAGCCCCTGTCCTTCTTTACCTAATGGATCCTCTGTCCTCCCCTCTTTATTCCATCCTCTCCCCACAATCCCAGATCAATGTTACCCAACAGAACTTTCTGCAATCATGGAATGTTCTATAATCTGCACTAACACAGCAGTCACTAGTCATATGAGCTATTGGCACTTGAAATGTGGCTAGTGTGCCTGAGGAACTATGTTCTAAACTGTATTTAATTTTAATTAATTTACATAGCTACATATGACCAGCAGCTGCTATTCTGGACAGCACAGTCCTTGGATGGTAAAAGGCCAGGGACTACACCTTCCTCACTCACTGGGGAGCTTTTCCCCATGTTTGGGCCTCTGCTCTGCTTTCTTCTGCCTAGAACCCAGGACCTCACCCTCCTCAAGTTTTCTGGCTAGCTCGTTTTCCTGCCCCAGAGCTCAGCTGACTACTGGATCTAAAGTAAGCCCTCTACCAGGTATTCCTTATTTTACTACCTTATTTTCTTCACTGCACTTATCACAAATTGTGTTCAATTCATTTGCCTATTTATTTATTATTTATTTATCTTGAAGTTTTTGGCCGGGGCTGGGTTTGAACCCGCCATCTCCAGCATATGGGGCCGGTGCCCTATTCCTTTGAGCCACAGGCGCTGCCCCCATTTGCCTATTTATTGATATTTAGTCTTCCCACATGAGAATGTGAATTCCACTGGGCAGGCATGACATCTGTCTTGATCAACACAGGACACTGTGTGCCAGGTCTGGCACATAGTAGGCACTCAATAAAATGTGCCAGTGAAATTAACGTTTGAATTACTTTCAAAGGTTTATCCTGAAGTTCCAGAGCATGAGTGTGTGTCTGTCAATAGAAGGATGGCTACCCACCTCCTGAGTCCCCTAAAAGTGTTGGGTAGACAGAATCAAATTATACTAGATGAAGAAAGTGCTAGAGGGACCCAAGGATGGTTGGCCAGGGAGGGAACTGGTGGGGGATGACAGGGGCTGCTGACCTTGTTGAAGCGATCATGAGGCACGTACTGCAGCACGATGGGCTCCATGGTGAGCACGTTGGCAAACTGCACCTCGGGTATGTAGAGGGCACACACCACATGGGCCCAGCCTGGGGCAGTGTGGAGCCAGCCTCAGCTGTGGATGGCAAGCCCGAGACCCTACCCCTCACAACCCCATGCTACAGACTGTCCCCTTTTCCATAGTCTTCCCATTTGATCCCAGAGTTAGCCAGGAAAAGAAACCCAGCCTCCACCAACCCCAGTCCACTCCTGCCTTCCTAGACCCTGCCTGGGGGTCTTGTGGACCTCAGCAGATGAGCCCACCTCACCTCCATTATCAGTCCTCTTCAATGCCCCGTCTTTGTGTGGGCACAGCTCACACCTCTGCCAATGCAAGGGGGCACAGGGGTTGGGTGATCTGCTGAGCTGGGCCCTCCCTGAACACATTCAAAGGGCCCTGGGATGAAGCGATAAGATCTAGGGCAAGTGGGTGGGGATATAGCACAAACAGGATTGGCCATAAGTTGATAACTGTTGAAGATGAGGATGGGGACGTGAGGTTCATTATAGTATTCTCTTTACTTTTGCATGTGCTGGAAACTTTCCATAATAAGAAATTCAAACAAATAAAAACCAAAGACCCCATACCTGAGGTGAGGCAGAGTGAGGGAAAGGCTAAGGGAGAGAGGGGTTGGCGGTAGACATGCAGAAAACAGGAAGTCCGTGTGAGAGAGCTAAGTCCCACCCTAGCCTCAGCCTCAGCATCCCCTAGCCCAATAGAAGATGTCTGGGGGTGGGGGATGAGGGGAGCAGTGAGAGGCAGCCTCAAACTCACCACCCTGGCTGCTCGCTCCTGAGATTCACACTTCCGGCAGAACCAGGGTCCCGTTGGCACTTGAACAATGCCATAGCAAGCTAGGGTAGGGAAAGAGAGTCACTGAGCCACTGAGCCACTGAGCAAAGCTGTCAGCCAATGGCACTTTCCCAGAGTAACAGGGGAAGGGAATGCCTCTAAAGGACTAGAGCCAATTCCGGCAGGGGGGCTGCTCCCCTGACTGGGGGGGGGGTGTCACTCACTAACCAGCAGGACTTTAGCAATGACCAAAAGCACAACCTCAGCCTTTAACCACTAAACTAAGCACTTCAAACAGGAGCGGGGAAATCAGAGTCCTTGACCTTAAACTTCTAGAAGATCCTCCCCTCATGCCCTTTCTGGACTTGTTTCCCAGCTCCTGCTTGGGACTAGTCCTCAGCATGGGAACAGGGAAAACCAGTGGGGACAACAGTCACGAAACGCAAACACGTTTTGTTGTTATGGGGGGGGGTTCCTTAAAGGGCCAGTAAGGGACAAGGCGGGGAAGTAGGGAGTTCAGGGACCTCATTTTCTGCCTCTAACTATCACAGGTACAGGTCAAAAGTCGAAGTTGGGGGCAGGTGCAGTGCTGGTAACCAAGAGGAGAGTGGCGGGAAGATCCCGCAGCCACAGCATCAAGGGTTGTCCCAGGAAGGGGGGGTGCCCAGCTGCGTGTGCCAGACGGGCGGGAGATGCCAGCCTGCGCCCTCGGCAAGATTCCTCAAGGAGTTAACTCCCGAACCATGTGCTGCTGGGGGAAACTCCAAACCTCTCTCTTCTCGATTTCTGGCCCCCTGCACAACCTCTCTCCCATCCTCATCTCTTCCCCGGAGAATTGTAGGAGTCCTCTCTCCCTTGGGACCCTTCTCCTCCCTTCCCAATTCCGCTCCTCCCAGTATCCGGAAGCGAGGGGGGAATGACCCCCCCCTTGACCTCTTCCTCCCGGAGCTAGGACCAAAATAAACGAGCGGGAGGGGACACCTCGCAGGTAAACATTCCCCCAGCAGCCCAGACACTGGCGGAATGGGGCGTGGGGAGTTCACTCATTGCTCCCTAGACTCTCCCCAAACTCCCTCAACTTGGGGTGGGGGGCGCAGGACTGGAACAATAGGCAAGAAAACAATGCCTGACCTGGTCCTCCAGGACCCGGCGGGGGGAGCCCCCCACGCCTCCCTTCCCTTCAGGTGGGGTGGGGGAGGGGCGCGCGAGCCCTGGGAGGTCTCCGGAGGGCGCGGCCCGGGGCGCCCCGCGCGCGCCGCCCCCGGGGTCCCGCCGCCCCCCGCGGGCCACCCCCGTACCTTGGTGGACGGCCACGCTGCACGCGTGCCCATCGCAGTAGACCAGCGGGTTCTCGGCCCAGCCCCTCTCGTCCGAACATACGCAGCAGCCTCCTACCATCTCCTTCATACTCCCATG